AAAAAAAAAAAAAAAACAGCAGTTGTGATTTCAGTAGTCCTCATGCAAATATTCACAGGTTGTGTTTACTGATGTGTACTGCGTAGTACACAGTACACTTACTTACTGTGTACTGCTTAGTACACTTACTGTGTGACATGTATGTACAGAACTTCAAACTCTAAAATGCAGCATTGTGTCAAACATAGAGACTCTAAATTTAAACTCTCGTAGTAACATCTGAGTTTTCTAATAAAAAAACAACACTAGAATATTATATTTTGTGAAAATACACATAATGTAATCGTGGGAAAGTGGCTGAGGTTCTTTTAAAGTCTTGTTTGTTGAACATTCCACCTTCTACGACTCTGGAATAATGTGAGAAAATAATGCAATGACAACTAAACCGGGTCAAACGCTCACGTTGACCGAGTTTGTCTCCATGAGTTTGAAAATAAAATAACATTTTTTGCGTAACTTGCATTGAAAGTCACTTTATTGGATTCTGACGTCTTTGTACAACACTTTAAATATTTCTGCAGGAGTCAGAATACAACACGTGAACACAATGTGAAAACACCGGAGTTAAGTTTTCAGAATGGCCGTCGCACTCATCGTGTTTGACGGGTTTTTACGTCAGACATGTTGTTTAATCACATGTTACATTTAACCATATGCTCCTCTGAAGGAAAAAAATGTCTGATGGAAATATAGTTTTCGTGGTTTTTGCGACAGACGGACAGACTGACAGACACGTTGTCATGGAAACACAACCTCTTTAACAGAGGTGGTGAGAATAATTTAGGAAAGGCTGAGTGGAAGGTGATGGGGGGGTAGTCGGACTCCTTCCAGCTGATGGGCTACTGATTTTGTGAATCATCGTCACATCCTGTCTTCTTATCCTCTTCTCTACAAGGCCGTCTGTGTGGAGTCAGCCGTGTTGTTTGACCTCTCACCTCTGGATTTCTGCTCTGGATGTGTTGAACTCACCGCTGCTTGTTCTGATCTACTGGGATTCTCGCTGTTCGCGACCGGCTGGCGATCCGATTGGACGGCAGCTTCTGTCGGAGGTGAAACCGCTGCTCTTTCTACGCTCTCATAGGCTGCTCTGTCTGTCAAGATGATATAGTTTGGCTCCGGCTGTGGGGCACTGGAGCGACGCTGCAATGCATGCTGGGTGCAGGAAAAGGAGCGCTGCCGGGGCGCTGGTTGAGGGGACGGGAAGTGAGGTGTTGCAGCTCTGGGGACGTCGTGATGCCTGTCGCGATCCTCGTCTTCTGAGGTCACCTCCTGTAAGGTGCTGATTGGCCGAGGGGAGCGGCCCATGATTCTTGGAGGTACCAGCGCTGTTGCTGATTGGTTGAGCTGTGGTCGCCAGTTCTGAGGGGAGGGGTACTGCACTCTGTTCATCGACCAATCACTGGCAAGACAAGAGAGTGAAATTAGACCGGCTCCTTAAAAAGAAATATGCACGGTTGTATCAGCGAGCGTATTCATGAAACCTTACTTTTGTGGTGGCGGGGACATATCTCGATGTGCTACTATCCCGGAGAAGGAGGCGCTTCTTCCAGGCAGGCCCTGTGATCCGGCCCATGGCGAGTACATCAGAGCACGCTCCTCCCACATCATGTCGTTGGCTGAGTCTACGGTAACGGGCCCTCTCTGTATTTGGTGAGCCAGCAGGAGTTCCAGGACCTGGTGACGCATCCCCTCTCTGGCAACGTCGATCGGCCGCCGGCCCCTTCGATCGTGCAGCTCAAGGTTGGCGCCGTGAAGGAGGAGGAGTCTGGCAGTGTCGTAGCAGCCGTGGAGGGCGGAGAGGAAGAGCGGGGTCTCGCCCTACCAGAAGTAATCATGAAGGAAAACACAACTCTAAAATGTTTGAAGGATATTTATTCCAATCCACGTGTTGTGTCCAATGTCCAATATCACTGACTGTCACAAGAGCACGAGGACACTTTCAGGAGCTTACCTTGTTGTCTTGCAGGTCCACAGCGGCCCCATAGCGAATGAGGGTTCTTGTAAGGGAGAGGTGGTTTACTGAACATGCCCAGTGCAGGGCTGATCTCCCTGAGAGACAGTGTGAGTGGAGGTGAGGGGGAAGAAGAAGGGACGGAGTAAGTCAGCCAATGAACAACCATTACACAACAGAGTCGAGCCCAGATGGTGAAGAGAGGGAGAATGAAGGGAAGGGATGAGGAGAGGAACCGCCTCAGCCGGAGAGACGAAGACATAAACGCGGAAAAGCGAGAGAGAGAAAGACAGATGTCTGAGAGACGTGTCAAAAGCAAGAGGAGGAAAAAGGATGAACCAAAAAAGTGTCCATCGACCAGAGTTTGAGCTCTAGAGCGCATTAACTTTCTTCTGAGTCAGAGGACGGCAGCAGGGGAGCTGGAGGAGGAGAGAGAGGAAGAGATGGAAGCCATGGAGAGGAGAGAGGACAGGACGGGAGAGGAGGGACACAAAAAGAGGGCGTGAGAGACACGGGGTAAGTCACAGCAGTTACTCAACCCCTCAGTGTACAGGTGTACATGTTGTTTCTCTCCAAGTTAACCTGGTCATGCATGAGATACAAATATGTCTTGTGAACTTGTACAGACTTTATGTTTTACATTTTGTGTTTGCAGCGACTTGTCTAAACTATTTATAACTGCCCTGTGGTTGTGTGCCTCTGCCAGTGCAGGTTCAGTCTGCATTGACTTTTTTAAAACGTCCTCATTACAAAATGTGGGATTTTAAATTTGTCGAGCAGTTTTGTTTATAAGAAAATACCTAGAAAACCCAAATTTAGTTTTGGTAATGAGCAAATAATACTTGCTAAACAGTGGCTTGTGCTTTAGCTCAATACAGCTTCACAGCGCTAACATATTCTTCTTCAACTCGATGCATGAAGAGGTTAATGCAGAATGTGTCCGTCTCTGCTCCTGACATTAGAGATGATGGAGCATTTGCAGGAAAATGGTTGAATCTCACAGTGAACTGCACAGGTAATGATAAAAACTACAGTTCCATCCCAAACTGTGATTGTTAGCTATAATTTAAATAGCATTAGCGATGGTTCCTCGAATTCTTATTGTTCCCAGTGAAAATAGGCGACAAGAACCACGTGCAGACTTTCAGGTTTGTAGTAATATGAGTAACTGTCACAGGGGAGCATTACCAGTGTGGTCGGTGTTGTTGACAGGTACTCCTGCTCGCAGCAGCTCCAGAACCACCCTGTCCAGTCCACTACGCACCGCTCGGATCAGAACCACAGACCCATCTGGGCCACACCACTCTGCCGACTGCAGACACCACCAAACCATGATAAATATACACCTCATACAGTACATATACACAGTTATAATACTCTAAACAGAGAAAAACAACTACGTACTAAACAAACAAATTACTTCTAAAGTTGCACGGTATAAACACAAACAATACAAAACCAATAGGATTTAAATAGTGAAATAAGTAAAACTACGTACAAACAGAGACGACTCGTCAGATGAATCGAGTCCTAACTTTCATAAAACATGGAAAAGAAACCAGATGAAAGCAGAACTGATGAATTAGCACTAAAAGAGAAATGGACAGACCTGTTGGGGAGGACTGAGCAGAGGAGGCGGCATGGCGTTTCTCTCCCATCCTCTAGGTGGAGCTGAGGGAGCACAATAATCATGCTTGAAGGACATGAGGAGTTTAATACGTGAACAAATACTATATATGCAAAAATACGTGTAGTCTACATGCAATCATTCAGAATTGTAACAGTAATGAATCTTTTGTGTAATCACTGGAAAGCCTACGTTGTATGGGTCTGCGGGACTGAGAGGGTCCAGCTCGGTACTGTTTCTGGTCCTGGGTCCTGTGGTCACAGATGGACGCGTCCTCCTGTCGCCTGGAGCATCTCGCATTGATGTCTTCCATTGAACTCTGGGTAAAGTCTGTATCGCTTCCTATGTCCTGGTCCCTTTTGAGAGGCCTGAAAAGAAAAGCACGTTTTTTTTTTTTAATGCTGCCGCCGTGGTCATTTCCTTTTTCTTGTTTTATTTTGACGTGTGAGTCACTAACGAGCTCTGCAGCCAGACACAAAGGTTTGTTTTTGTAAAATGTAAAGACGCAGTGACTGGAAGTTATGGGGAAAGTCAACATGGTCAGGGGGCCCTTTTTCTTTTTCCAAGATGTTTTTGTTCTTGTGTAGAGAGACAGGATATCAATGGAGGGAGGGAGGGAGGGAGAGGACAGTAGCAACATGACGTCCTGCTCCAGTCAAACTGAGACGATGATGTGCGTCCTTCATAAGTTAATTATCAACATTTGTGAGGCAGAATTTTTCCGTCTCATCAATTAATTTGAATTCATCACTAATGCACAAATGTGTCCACTGTCCCCTGTCATGGACACAAGGGCAGAGAGTTGACCTTTGCTTATAGTTCCCGGTTCAAAGTGTTGATAAGAAACGTTTATGAAGGATTTCTCTTGTAAATTGCAAAATGTGAAATGTGAATAGATAAATGTGAAGTTTCCGGGACGAAAAGAAACAGACAGATGAACTTTCAGTTGTTTTAGAATGTCCTGTGTCCTGCAGACACAACATCCTCTCATGTCATCTCCTCTCACCGCATTCGAATGGCGTCCTCGCCCAGCGGCTCCCTCCTCCTCTTCTTCTCCGCTTCCTTGGCTTTCTTCTTCTTCCGCAGGCTGATCTTGTCTATGTCTCTGCTGGACCTGACCCGTTGTTCTTGCTGGGCTGCGTGCGGCGTCCAGGACTTGGCTTTGCTTTGCTCGTTGTCGGTGACGGTCGACCGGTGTCTCACCCTGTTGTTGCCCTCCCTCTCAGCCCGCCGCTGCCTCACCCTCCTCACCACCAGGAACACCGCCACGGGCAGCGCCAGCAGCATGGAAACCGCTATGGCAACGACGGCCCACAGCCACACAGGGTTCGACTCTTTGAAGGAAAGATTTGAGAGTTTTACTAAAGTGGATCCTTTTTGGATAAAAAAAAAAAAAAGTTTTGTAGAGTGAGCCACAAAAATCCTAAATCTGTGACAGATTCAACTCATTCTTTGACTTTTCAGTTGACACGTTTCAGTTTGTTCAAACATATGACATCAGCAATGATTCAGAGTCATCAAACACATCTACACACTGGAAATGGAAAAGTGTTTCACAAAGTTTTGTTTGGATGAAATTCAAACCTGTGAGTGTGTGTGGGAGGCACAGGACATGTGAGCCTACCTTTGACTACCTCCACCATTTCCTCCTCCCTGCTTCCTATTTCCTCTCGGACACCTCTGATACCGATGACGGCCTTCAGCTCCGGGAGGGTGGGGAGCGATGTGGGCTTCAGCAACATTGCGGCACGTAGGAAACTGGCGGCCTCTGTGGCGTAGGGGAAACAGGTAGAGGGCAGACGGACGCACGGCCTGTTGTCCACTTGGAGGAAAAGGAGGGAGCTGGGAGGGAGAGAGAGGAGGAAACAGGGGGAAAGAGCAGCTACGTCATTTTTGAAGCCAGTTTTACGAGTTCCCCAAGGTTCTGTGTTCGGCCTACCTTTATTTAGTCTTTACTTAAATGATCTCGATGTTACTGTGCATGGATTAAAAACTCGTTACGCACATGATGTGGCTTTTTAATAACATTTAACTCAACACGCACCCGTTGGAGTCGGCAGGTGTGGCCTTAGCGAGCAGGTCGATAAGCTGCTGAGGGTCAAACTCAAACAGTTTCATGTTGGTGGCGAGCTGGGTGGCCCCTCTCAGTTTGAGCGGCGACTGGAGGAGGACGCTGAGCGCCCAGAGCACGGAGCTGTTGGAGAAGGTGCCGCGTTCCAGCGGGATGTTAGTGTGAAGGACCAGCGTTCCTTTAGCCCACTGCGGGCTCTGATGCCTGAAGCAGTCGCTGCCGTCCCATCCACAGGGGGCGCTGTTGCATCCCTGGCCGCAGTGGGAGTCGGCGTAGTGATCGCGGCAGTACTTGATGTGGTCCGGACTGAGAGCCACGATGGGGAGGGAGGAGAGGACACAAAGAAACTGAAATATTAGACAAAACAATCTTGACTTTAGGTCTGTTCACAATCTTTCCTTCCCTCAGTGTGTGAAAAAGAGCAATGAGCTGAAGAATTAACTTTTATTTTACGTTTTGACAAATATAAATGTGTTTATCTGTGACAATGGGACAATGAAGTTGTTATATACAAGTATATAAGTATTTAGTGTAAAGTAGAAAGTAGTAAGTGTACTTTGATTATGATGACAGTAGCTGTTTTTTTGTTTTTTTTTACTCCCAACAAATAAAGTGATTTATGTGAAAAATATCAAATGATATTAATAATCAAGCTGGAAATACTTTTGTCAAACTTGAAGTACTATGTGTATGAAAACAAAGGCGTTTTACTTGCAGTGGCCCCTGTCCTTCATGCAGTCGAGGCCGTCCCTCAGACACTCAGGCTCCATACATTCTCTGTCACACGACCCGTCTCCGAACTTGTCCTTGCACTTTCTGTTGACTGGACACTGACCCCATGGATCTCCAGACGCAGCTGCAGACACAAAAACACAAAAGCAGTTGAGGTCAAAATGTTGCAATTGTGATTGTGCATCAGCCGATAACTTGTTCAGGTGGATGACGTCCGTCCTGAGTCTGGTTCTGTTCTGTTCCTTCCTGTTGTCAAATGCTTGCTGACTGTTAGGTTTCTCTAGATAACACAGTCTCGACATTACTCACTTTGCAAACAAAGCAAACTGTGCATTATTGCACTTTGTTTTCATGCCCCTTGAGTCTTTACAGAGTAATTAAACCGAACATGCAAACTGTTTTCATTAAGTGTTTTATCGCAGCTCCAGCTCAGCCCCTTATTCAAACCCCTCATTGTTTCACAGCGTTAGCAGCAATTCATAACAATGCAGGTCAGGCCACGAAAAGTGGGTCCAGATACGGACCGTTAAAGGGAGCAGGAAACGGGGCTGACATAAACAGGAAGTTACCAGGAGAAACGAATAGCAACAGGAAATGGAGTGGGCCGGGGACTTGATAAAGGTCGAAGGTCTTCACCACGGCGACGAGGAATGTGATGGAGTCAGACAATGGGGTTGGCAGGTGTGTGCGGGATCATAAATTCAGAGCAGACAAAAATCTTACAGACAATAGAGCTGAAATTAAACAAGATTAATGTTTTATGCTTCACATCAGCAAAGAGGAACCTTCTGGTGCAGGACGAAGTCTTCATATTAGAAA